ATTATCACATAATCCAGAAATTCCATTTCGGGGTACATATCCGAAAGAATTGAAAGCAGGGATTTGAACAGATGGTGTACACCCATGCTCTTGGCTGCACTGTTCATAATAACCAAAAGATGGAAACAACCCAAAATGCCCATTGATATATAAATGGATAAACAAAATGTGGTATATACATACAATGGAATATTACTCAGCCTAAAGAGAAAGGAAATTGTGATACATTCTACAACATGGACGAATATTGAAGATATTATGCTAAGTAAAATAAGTCAGACATAAAAAGACAAATGTTGCATGATTCCACTTCTAGGAGGTATTCAGGGTAGTCAAATTTATAGAGATAAAAAGTAGCACTGTAATGTACAGGGACTGGGGGAGGAAGGAATGAGGAGTTATTGTTTAATGCATACAGAGTTTCAGTTTGGGAAGATGAAACATTTCTAGAGATGGATGGTGGTGATGACTGTACAAGAATGTGAATGTTCTTGATGCCACTGAACTGTAAACTCAAAAATGGTAAAAATGGCTGGGGCTGTGGCTCACGCCTATAATCCCAGCACTTTGGGAGGCCGAGGGAGGCAGATAACTTGAGTTCAGGAGTTCGAGACAAGCCTGGGCAACATGCTGAGACTCCATCTCTACTAAAAATACAAAAATTAGGCAGGCGTGGTGGCAGGCACCTGTAATTGCAGCTACTCAGGAGGCTGAGGCAGGAGAATCGCTCTCACGCAACTGCACTCCAGCCTGGGTGACAGAGCGAGACTCTGTCTCAAAAAAAAAAAGGTAAAAATGTTCAATTTTATGTTATATATATTTATCACAATAAAGAATTTTATTTGAAATTATAATGTGTTAGTTTAGGTGAAAGAAAAAATATAATTGAGCTTACACCTATATTCAAATATCTATCTAATGTCTAAATGGAGTATTGCCACTTTGAAATATCCTACCAAGTCAATTTAAAATTTATTTTCCCATTGTTACATGCACTGAACTCAGAGCAAGAAAAGATGGTCAAAGACAAACATAAGTCTTCTAGATCTCTACTGTACAATGCTGTAGCCTCTAGTTATCTGTGCCTATGTAAATGTATATTAATTAAAATTAAACATTTAGTTCCTTAGTCACACTAGCCACATTTCAATGTACAATAACTACATATGCTTCATGGTTTATTAGACAGTGCAGACACAGAACACACTACAGCACTACAGAAAATTCTAGACAGTGTTCTTCTAGATTAATTCACAGTAAACTTCCTTAAACAATCACTGGTATGTACGTAGGGACGGTGGTCAATCCAGAATAAAAATAAAAAGCCATAGAGTGACTCATAGAGGAAACAACTAGCTGATTGAATGTTTTACTTTTTAACTAGCCATGACAAACAGATATAGGCCAAGTGACATTTTTATCATGAAAACATTGCATAACCTTTAATGAAAAGTAGAGCTATTTATGTCATCTTGGACATACCAAGAGACAAGTCTTTTAAGTAATACGATCTTTCATTGAGAGAAACAGTGTTAAGCATATTTTCACAGCAACTCTATGGAACATTACAGAATTTCAAAATTAGGAATACGGAGATTGCATATAGTGACACAAAAAATACATACTGATGTAGTAAGTACAACCAATTTATGCTGGTACAAAAACAATATGCTGGTATATTAAGTACAACCAATCTCTTTTTAAGAGATTATAAAATCAATTCTACAGTGCGAATTCAGTTATATATCAGCTATGCAGAGATATGGATAATTACTAAGGATAACAGGAGAAAACAAAAATAGCTGGTATATTTGTTGAAGAATTATGGGCACTTAACAGAACAAAGTAATACTGTTCAAATATAGCCAAAACGAACAAAAAAAAAAAAAAGAAAGTAAATAGGCCTATGCTATTTTATCCCAACAATAAAATTATGCACTGTTTTGTAACACTACCTGTATGTTGCTCTCACCTCAATACCTTTAGGGAATCCTATGTATATTCTGTGTCATATACTCAGTTGATGTTCTGATAAAATAAAAAAACCCCTGAAGGAGTATTTTCAAAAAACTGAACAACTGGAAGAGTCTTTAAGAGTTTATGTGACCCAATTCTCTGCCCCTACCATTTTAAAAACTGAAACGTAGTAATTTAAAACTTGGGCAGTTTAACGCAAGTGTACATCTAGTACACAGTGCTTTTGTGTGCATACTAACTTATCTAGCACATAAGCCAGGTGATAATATGGCAATTTATTTAAATATGTACTTATATATCTTCTGCATGATCAGGTCTTAGTAGAAGCATAAAAGAATGAATCAAGTGCTAGGGAAAAATGACAAATCTCATACATTACAAATAATGTTTCTTTCAAAATGATATCTAACTTTCCCCACGAATCAAAGCTCCTGGTTTCCTAAATGCAGTTGTGTTCTAAAATTGTACGGATTAAGGTTGCATCATTCAATTCTATAATTTTTCATATGAAGTATACTGGAATTAGAAGGATGCATAATTAGATTTGAAATACTAAAAAAAGTAAGGTCTCCTACAGACTTTTTGGTGAGTGCTGCATTTGCCAAAACCATGTTTAAGTGTTTTACTTGAGAAAACAAATGACAAGAATAAAACAAGTTCAATAACATTTAACAACAATTTGATGACATAGGAAAGATTTGGACTTCAACCCCCCGCCATTAACTTCTATGTGGTTATATATGTTCTTAGGTATTACATATAAATATGTTTTATCACATTTCAATAAATTTATGCTCATAATCATATCTCTTTAATGAATTATTACTATTTTCCTACAAAAATCATGTGAGTAACCTCCAAATTTATATAAAATTATAAATAAGATTATCGATACCTTAACAGGTTCGAATAGAAAAAGCTGTCATCTTATATTGGGTCAAACATTTTGTTGGAAGGAATCTCTGGGTTCAAGTTCTTGCTAGGTCACTGAGAGACTATTCTGCTTAAGGCACTTTACATCTAGTTTCAGTTTCTTCATCAGTAAAATCAAAGGATGGAGGAGGTGTTCTCTAGCTCCTTCTAGTTTAAATATACCTGACTATAAGTTGCTTTCTCAATTCAGATAACTTACCTCTCTCAACACAGGATCAGTTATTGAATTCAGATTGACAGCTCCTTCATAGGTCAAGTAATAGAACACATTGAGGGCTCGGACAGCCTCTGGTCCTTGCTGTTTATAGCCAAAAATGAGATCAATCCATTGGTGAAGCTGGCAGGAAACAAATTCACTCTCCAGAGCCTGAAAAAAAGATATGGATTGTATTACTATGTTGAATTCCTTTTTAAAAATATAGAGAGACATTTAGAGCAAGCAGTAAAGTTTAACACTAACTTTACTGCGAACAAAGATTTTTAAAAAACAAAACTTGTGGCTGTGGTGGCTCACGCCTGTAATCCCAGCACTCTGGGAGGCTAAGGTGGGCAGATCATGAGGTCAGGAGTTTGAGACCAGCTTGGCCAACATGGCGAAACCCGGTCTCTACTAAAAATACAAAAATTAGCTGGGTGTGGTGGCCCGCGCCTGTAATCCCAACTACTCAGGAGGCTGAGGCAGGAGAATAGCTTGAACCTGGAAGGCGGAAGTTGCAGTGAGCCAAGATCACGCCATTGCACTCCAGCCTGGATGACAAGAGCGAAACTCCATCTCAAAACAACAACAACAACAACAACAACAACAACAACAAAAACTTATCTGACAGCCTAGTTGCTACCAGAATCTGTCCTCCTTTGTTTACAATTAGAGGTTTTCCAGCACTTGGCATAATTAATTATACTAAATGTGTAAGTTTCAGTATTCTTCTACTGTACTGACAGCACTAAGGAGCAGGACTGGGCCTATCTTGGTCACATTTGTAACTCAGAGCCTGACAGGTACTCGATTTATGCTTCAAAGAAAGGAGGCCGTACAAGGCAAAGACTATTTTGGGAAACTAAATGTGAAAATGTTAAAAATTTACTATCCACTTGAAATATTTATTATTTTTCTAGAATTAAAATATTTTGTAGTCTACTTCAACATCCGTAACCAAATTATTTAGTTATGTTGATTGAGTTCTTATGCTAACAAATTAGATCTTGTCGGGGATATTTATAATTACTGAATTTTTATTCTAGGTATTAATATCAAACCTGACCAAATATTTGATGCTATTAACATAATAGTGCCCGATAAATAATGAATGAACACAATCAAGTAGCTGGTTGAGATCCTAGGCACAAGATCCATTTCCTATCCATCATTATATTCCCAGTTACTAGTGCTATGCCTAAAACATAATAGATGCCAATAAATGTTTGGTGAATTTAATAACATTATAAATACTAAAGAGTTCTAAAAACTGAAGAGATTTTTTAGGAAAGTATTCATCTTTATATTATTTAATATTGTTCAAAATCATTCCAACATAAAAGTTTAGCATTATGGATTAGTTTAACAATAAATAATTATATTAAAATCAAAGAGTTTTCAAACATAAACTCTGAAGCTTAATTAAAAGTATACAGTAAGCTGGGCGCGGTGACTCATGCCTGTAATCCCACCACTTTGGGAGGCCGAGGCAGGCAGATCACAAGGTCAGGAGATTGAGACCATCCTGGCTAACACAGTGAAACCCTGTCTCTGCTAAAAATACAAAAATTTAGCTGGGCGTGGTGGCGGGCGCCTGTAGTCCCAGCTACTCGGGAGGCTGAGGCAGGAGAACGGCATGAATCCAGAAGGTGGAGCTTGCAGTGAGCCGAGATGGCGCGACTGCACTAGAGCCTGGACGACAGAGTGAGACTTTGTCTCGAAAAAAATAAAAATAAAAAAGTATACAGTAATCCCCCCTCATCCACAGGGGTTATGTTCCAAGATCCCCAGTAGATGCCGGAATCTGCGAATAGTACCAAACCCTATACCTATATGTACTATGTTTTTTCCTATACATAAATACCTATAATAAAGTTTAATTTATAAATTAGGCACAGTAAGAGATAAACAACAGTAACAACAAACTTGAACAATAATGATATACTGTAAAAATGTACATACCATAATAAATGTTATGTAAATGTGGTCTCTGTCTCTACCTCAAAGTATCTGATTGTACTGTACTCACACATTTTCAGACCTTAGTTAAACACAGGTAACTAGAATTCTGGAAAGCAAAACTGTGGATAAGGAGGAGACTGCTATACCAACTTATATCTGGTAATGTATCTCATTGAAATTGATTCTTATTTTTAGAGAAGTCTATGATTGTGATGTATTTTCAGTATGGCTTGCTGCTATGTTATAAGAGATCTGCTAGTTTTAAAACAAAACTGACCAACTTATATAGCAAATAACCAATGTGATATAAACCATCTTGTGACAAAAGACGTCCCTATTCCTTTACATGTGGACACTTGTGTAAAGATATGCTTTATTAAAATAAGTACCTATGAAAAAGAAATGTTTATAAATACAAAAAATATATTTCCTTTAATATTTAACACAGCTTCACAATATTATCACAAATATAAAATTGAAAACATACTTTTGTAAACAAAACTCTAGGCAATTCTCACATTTCAAAGTATACCTTAAATGAAATATGCCTTACAAATATTTAGCTAGTTTCAATTGAGAAAGTTACTGTTTTAGACATCTCTTTTAAAATGCTTTACATTTACAAATTTATTAAACAGATATGACAGCACAAAACTGCTTCACATGTTACTTGAAATAAGAAGAGAGAAGCTTATGATAACTTTAAGTAAATGCCTATTTTAAGTACATAAATTTGAAAAAAATCTAGGAACTACTAATGCAAGTTACACACAGAAATGATACGTTGGTTTCATTAACTGAGACCTTGGGTAGGGATGGGGGTAGGGGGTAGGCACATTTACAATGACACATAAAAACAGCAATTGTCTTAATTTGTGTGCAGTGCACTCCACACAAAAGCCCTAAATATGTTCAAATTAGAGCAAGCTGCTTGATTGTCACTGCAGTCTCATGTCACATTAATGCATGACAAACATTAAACCATACACTTAAATGGCAATTTATATCATTTAAATGTTTACTGCCAGACTAGCTCATCACTCATTTAAATGTGACTTTCTGACAGCTAATTTCAGTTAATTTTCTCCAATTCACTTAATTAGAACTTTCAATCAGGGAAGGACCTACACATATCTTCGTGCTTACATCCTTTTTGGTGGCTGTTCGAAATCTGAGTTCATAAACTGCCGAAAAGCTCTACTATAACAGATTAGCATGTAATATCTCTGAGTTTGCAAAAAATATGACTCTGTGAAGCAAACTTAGAGTACATACTCTTAGAAAGAACCTATACTTATTTAAGTAAATAGTACTCTCGCCAGTAAATAAAAAACGTGTAATTCATATACACACACCAGTGAAACAATAAAAAAAACCCTGCATCCAAGCTAATTAAAAATTAATGATTTCAAAATTGTTTAATAAGATAAAACAGTCAGGAGTCTCTTGAGTGTCCATGGTGTTGTGATTTGAGACCATAAAATTCTAGAAGGCTCAGCAAATGACAAAGTACAAATGTATTTCCTCAATATTAAAGCTCTAAAAACTAGGGCAATTTTATTTTATGTGTCACCAGACAAAGAACTGTTGAGTTTTCCTTATAGCTGACTACTTCTTTATGCACACTCAAAATGGTAAAGTTGGTTAGATTTCAATGCTTAAAGCTTTGTATCTTGATACTGCATCAGAATTTTAAGCAAAAATGCTGAAAGGAAAGCTACTGTGTGCTCATATCAAGCTGCAAACACACATGCAGAGATCGCCACAATGCCATGATTCAGACCTCACCTTACATTGTCATAGGTCAGTCCTTAAGGAATTGACCAGTAATTCGCGGAACTATTGGCAAAATCACTTCCAGAAGTTGATAAACACATTACCTTCATGAATAAACTTTAATTTCTCAAACACTCAACTAAAAATTCCATTAGTCAGCTTCAAGCATGTCTTGCAATACACCAAAGCTTTAAAAAGGGAACTAAAAGAATAATGTGGTAAGTATAAGAGAATTCCAAGAAGTTTCAAAGTCATTTCAGTACGAAGTCAGTTCAGAACTTTAATATCCTTTTGCTATCAGTGAATGACAACTACGTAACCAAAAATAGGTAATGTACTTAAGACTTGAGGGAAGAGAGAAGGACAGGCAGGAAGAAATTAAGGGAAAAAATACAAACAATACAATTCAAAATGGAATACCCTGAGGTTTCCTTTTATAACTCCCATTTTTAAGATTTAAAAACATAAATCATGAAACCTATATTAAAATACCTTTTTTATATATTGATTTTTTAAAAAAATTCTTCATATACAGAAAATTCTCATTTAGATCTACATTTTTAGTTACAAAAAAATGAAAAATGCCAGTGGAATGCTGAGCATTTGAGATTTTTCAAAGCCTTCAAAACCGACAGTCCTCATTAAGCCTGGAGTTAAATACGGTTTGCAGCTAGGGGATAGTAACATTCTTCCCATGCTGCTCTCAAACCTAACCAATCAATTGTTAGTACTCCCCTAGCAGGCTGCATACATCATTTACATCCAATGTGTGCTCTGAGTAAAATTTGTAAAAAAGAAAATCCACTAAAATGTCCAACACAATACAATAATATTCAACTCATCTGAGTTATTATAAAATAAATCAGTAACTAATGTCCAATTGTTAAGGATCAGATAAGACTATGAAAAGACTATCATATGAAACCTCACATGAATTGTCAATTCAATCCAGGGGGACTCATATTAGTGTTGACAAACTGTCTTGGGGCTGATATCTGTTTTTTTTAATGAGATCTATTAGGCAGAGTAAAAGACTTCAGATATGCTAAAAACTACAGTATACAGATGTCAAATACACTTATTACTAACTTTCATTTGTTTGTTCTGCATACAGAATATCAACAAATTAAAGCTTTAATATTATGAAGATAATAGTAAATTATTCATAAATAGGAGGTTTTTATAACCCTGTGTCAGAAATAATCACAAAGTGTGTGTGTGTGTATATATATGTGTCTGTGTGCATGTTTAGCAAATCTCACTGAAAGAACACAATCTATGCTTTCCTGAAACTAACCCACTTAAGAAGTAGATTATTTCTTTATAAAAAGTGTTATATAAAATTATTCTTGTTTTCTATAGTGGAGTCAAAAAACATGATAACATATAGAAATAGCTTTTTCTGAGAAACTCTAGGCTATTTGAGAATAAAA